GGCGGTCCCTGGCCGCTGACCGAAGGAGAGCCGGCGGGCGGTCGAGACCAAAAGCCAAAACTTGGGAGCCCATTGGCCTCGCATGACTACCGGGGCGGTAATAAGGGCCTTCTGAAGGAGGAAAAAAAAGTTCCTTAGCGGTCGGGGGTTTTGGGCGCGGTCTAGGAAGGGGGGTTAGTAGTGTGCGTAAGGGAGGGGAAAGTGAAGGGGGTGGAGGGAAGGGGGCGAGGTGAAGGGAAAGGACCCTCCGTCCCCGTCCATGCATATTGCCGAGGGGCCCCAGGGGATTTTGTGGCCCGCCAACCCCCGCCTCCCGCCTCCCCCTGGGCGGACCACCCTCGCCCCGCCCCACGACACTCCTCGTCCTTTCGTTTGCTCAGCCGCACAATGCCATCTGTTTGTTGATGGAATATGGCAGCCTCATGTCGATAACTGCCGCACTAGTGGGGCGGAGAGAGAGAGAGAGAGACGGAGAGAGAGACGGAGAGAGAGACGGAGAGAGAGACGGAGAGAGAGACGGAGAGAGAGACGGAGAGAGAGGGGGGGGGAGAGAGAGGCTGGTTGCCATAGCAACAAGTGGCGGGTGCGCGCATCCAGCCAGGAGAGCGAATCAGCGAGAGAGAGGGGAGGGGGCTGCCCCCTCCCTTTCCCCCAGCCTGTCAGGTGGTTACCTTCGCGCGCAGGTGGGGTTTACGGGGACTCAACTCGAAAAAGCAGTGCCTTCCGGAGTCCGAACAAACGGCAACAAATATACCAGACATAGGAGAAAGAATTCAATATCTCAAGTTGTATGTGTTTATTGGATTTATAGATTGCTCGTATACACAAAAACTAATTACATCATGACAATATTTAAAAACACCAAGCATGACGAAAAAAGTACACCACTGTTTATATTTGTTAAGAGTAATGTAATATTGCAAAGAGGGGCGCTCCACAGACACATTTTGAAACATAGCTTTCAGAATTAGAGAATTGAAGAACTGTTCGCTAGGCAGGCTACGAGTGGGTTTCCCTCTAAGTGTAAGAATATAATGTTAATTATTTCTTTTTCATTCATATTAACCACTCTAATGTCTACTGGCTTATGTGGGTACGCAAATGAGCCAGCAAATTTTCAGGTCCCTTGAAGTTCTTGTGGCACTCCGTGCATCTGTGCGGTTTTTCCCTCATGTGTGTTGCCAGATGACTCTTCAGACTGTGGTAAAAAGAGAACTTCCTTTGGCATAAGCTGCACTCGTATGGTTTCTCCCCAGTGTGGGTTCGCAGATGTACCCGCAGGTCACCTGCTGCACAAAATTTCCGTCCGCACACTGTGCATTCAAATGGCTTCTCTCCTGTGTGGACTCTTAGGACGTGCACCCGCAGACTGCCAGGGTCAAGGAACCGACCGTCGCAGAAGCTGCACTGGAGAAGTTTAAGTCCAGTGTGAACTCTTTGCTTATGCATTCGTAAATGGGAAGTTTGTGTGAACGTTTTGTTGCAGAGGTCACATTTATAGGGCTTCTCTCCAGTGTGGATACGCAGATGTATCCGCAGTTCGGATATTGTATAAAAGTTCCGTCCGCACGTTGTACATTCAAAGGGCTTCTCACCATTGTGTCTTTGCAGATGTATCTTCAAATGTTCACCGCGAGAAAAGGTACGGAAACATTTATTGCATTCATATGGCCTCTCGCCTTTGTGAATTTTCACATGGTTCCGTAGTCGTTGTGGTCCAGGAAACGTTTTCTGGCACACGCTGCATTCGTATGGCTTTTCTGCTGTGTGGGTTCGCATGTGTGCCTGCAAATGTCCCGATTGAGAGAATTTCTTGTTGCAAACGTTGCACTCGAAAGGCTTTTCTCCCGTGTGGATTCGCATGTGTGTCTTCACAGAACTTTCCACAGAGAAGGCCTTATGACACACCTTGCATTCGAATGGCTTTTCTTTTGCATTCGAATGGCTTTTCTTTTGTGTGACTTCGCAGATGAACTTGAAGTTCCTGTAGATAAAAGAACGTCTTTGGACACAGGGTGCACTTAACTGATCTTTTCCATGTGTGCCGCAGGAAATGGTTTCGCAGTTTGGTCGCTGTTGAGAATGCCTTCGAGCACACGGTGCACTCCAAGGCCTCGTCTTTCAAGTCCGTCATGTCCGAAGTGGTAGAGCTCGCTGGTCTTGCAGCTCAACCAACGACTGCACGGGGGCACGTGGGTCACTCTGGGCAGTCCGACAGTCAGCTGAAAACAAAAGAGCCCAATTGTCGTTAGGATCCACAAAACATCGCAACAATGGACTACAATCACTTTAAAAACGGGAAAACTCAGTTTAAATTACCATCAACAGCAAAAACGAAACTACTTCTGCTTTCAGTTGTTTTTCTTTTCGATATGACAGATATATTGTCTTAAACCTTGCCTGCATGACAGCCTGAAATTGCTTACGCAAAGCTTACTTAACAATTTCTTTTTAAAAATTCGTGACAAAAATTTGAGAAAACCAAAGGGTGTACCATTGTATCTGTTTCGCCTCGCCACCACGGCCTCAGCCTCAGCGCCCGCAGGGTGGGCAGTCCCGTGGCGCGCGCGTGCCTCGCGGGCGGGTATCCTCCCACCCGCAGGGGCTCCGCACGGCCCGGACGCATAGAGCCGTCCATCCCACCCCCGCATGCATGCAGGCGCTGCCGGGGCGGGGCGGGGCGGGGCGGGGCGAGGGAGGTTCCCAGCGACACACTTAGCGGATTGGCACCGGCTGCTCGCGGAGCCCGTGCAGCTCTGCGCTCGCGTTCGTAATCCGATTCCCTGACGAGTGTGGCGGGGCGGGGCGGGGACAAGGTGCAAACGCGCGTCGCGCCCGAGTAGCGGCGGTGCAGCGCTCATCACGTCGAGAGTCGTCGCGCCAAGAAGTACATTATAATCCCATCCGCGCAATAAGAAGTTTCGGTGCAATCATTTCATCCCGCAGCCGAGAGTAACGCGTCGCAGAAGCGAGGCGAGCGCGAGACAGTTCTGCCAGATCTGCGCCCCAGATTGCATAGAGAGAGGCTGGCGCTGTAGCGGCCGTGTACTGGGCGGGAGCCGTCGCGACAGGAAGACTGAATCCGTATTTCATCTTTGAGCCCGCTCCGAAGTTTTATCCTCGGAGACAGGCGGACCCGCCCCCCCCCCTCACCCTCCCCTTCTCTCTCCGTGTAATCGGGGGGCCATTCCCCAATCTCCCAAGAGAAGTTGATCGGCAACTTACTCTTTCGCTAATACATCACCAGATTCCTCATCGTCGGGGAAGTCCCCCTCCCCTCCCTTTTGGGATACTATGAGAAACTTTGCCCCCCCCCCCCAATAAAAAATAAGCCCCTTGGTTTCGCTTATTGAAATGGAAAAGTCTTGCGGGTCAGGAAACTTGGAGCTGGGCTGTGCTGGGCTGCTCGTCTTTGATTGACAGCACGGCCCACAATGCGACACCATTCTGCCGCGGTGGTGAAAAACAGACCAAGCCACCCCTTTGACCATAGTGCCTCACAGGCAGAAGAACGGGGAAATTCACGGGTTTCGTTTTACCGTCTCAAATTAACACACTGCGAATTACTCGTTTACTGTTTGTCTCCAAAGCGAGTTTTTAATTTTTCCCACGCGAGAGCTGCCAGCATAGAACATGATGAGGGCAATTCCAGGGAGGGGTGTCCGTACGTAACGCGACTTGTAAGCGACTGAGAGGTGCTACAGTTTTGTACAAAACATGACTAGACGAGTCTTGAGATGGCGAATCCGGACATGTATTGCAAAACAACGTACCACCTCTCAGTCGCTCACAAATCGCGTTACGTACGGACTTTTCTTACCATTTTTCCTGGAATTGCCCATGAGAAGATCGTATTTCTAAACAGGTACAAAGTAAAATTATATTCTTGCAGGTACCCTGTTCGGGGAAGAAGAGAAGGGCAGAGCAGACGTGCGCGGGGCGCCGGGGCGCGACGGCAGCGCAGAGCAGGGCGCCCCGAGGGCCGCGCGGGACGTACAAGTTGGCGCTGTAATTAATTTTGTCCGTTTCACGCAAAACCTTGCTCGTCGAGGAGCTAAAGAAGCCGAGAGAGGGGCGGCGGCACGGCGCGTGTGAGAAAGAAAGCGCACCGGACGGAAGCTGGGAATAATCAAAGCCAGGAGGAACGGCCGCCATGGACCGTGCCCGAGTTTAGAGCAGTTCACCCAGATAGCTGTTGGCTCTCTTTCTTGCTTTTCCTTTTCTTAGTGACCTCTCTTGGAGCTTCTGTACCGCTGTGCCTCATTTGCACTAATGCGTTTTGCAGCGCCGTCCCTCCCGCGACGCATTCTCTCTCTCTCCCTCCCTCTCTCTCTCTCTCTCTCTCTCTCTCTCTTTCTCTCTCTCTCTCTCTCCCCCTTTCAGCCACTCGTCTGCTACACAGAGAGGCCGTTCCTTGCTCCTTCTTACCTAAAAGGCTAAAACTTGATCCCGCCTTTCAAAGGCGCTGATATCGCTGTCAGCCGCGGGCCGCAGGTGCAAGGGAGATTGTAGGGGGGG